GGGGGGGAGGGGACAGCAATGCTCCAATCTATTCGTGGGGAGCAACACGTGCTGGGAACTGGGCCCAGCGTCCCATATGAGAATTTTACTCCCAGGCATCACACTAACATCATCAATGGCCTACTTTTGAGAGGCACACTTCTTTCCGCCTTCTCCTCTCACTGTGTTCCTCTCTTCTTCTCATTTTCCGTAGTCTCTGGCAATGTCTTTTTCCCTTTTTTATTTGGTATTTTATACTTCGATGAGCACAAGGTTGTCGCAAGACAGCCAAATGGAATGCCATTCAACAGATAGACCAATCAAGCAGTGGCCTTTTCAATTAACAAGATGGAAGTCTTTGGCTCTTTGCAAACACTCTTTGTCGGGTAGGGACCACATTTCGGCAAATATACATACATGACTTAAAACCGCCAGTACATTTGGAGACTCTAAGAGCGCGATAAGGAGAAAAAACTTCAGAAAAGTATAAAAGTGGAGGATAAATTAGCGGCTCTGGCAACCCTTCAGTCTGACCGGCAGATGAACTAAACTTGTTCCGCTCTGACTTGGCCACCATCAAGAATGATGTGGCTGTGGCTGTGGCTGTGGCTGTGGCTGTGGCTGTGGTTTTCAGACAGACGAAGGATCTGGCGTATGCTATGTACGCCATAGCCAAAGCACAACAGCAAATGCCCAAGCAATTACCAAGGTCTCCGACAGGCTAAGAGGGGCAACACAAGGAACAGAGGCGGAGGGCACAAGGTTGTCCACAAAGCGAACAAACTCTGGACCTACCTGTGAAGATCTCATTATCAAAACACCCCAATTCCACCACATATGAAAAGTGCCCACGCTTGCATCCATGGCAACAACAGAAGTCCGGGAAGTCTCGCACGAGCCCAAACATAATCAAACTAAAAGAAATCAACCTGATGCAGAAACAACACTTAGGAAATCAATGTGAAGTGTCTGGATCGCGGTGATCTTCGCGGTTTGCCGCTGGGGAATGCTTAGGAATTCCAAACAGTCTGCTAGCTGCAGTGCACTCAACCGGCTGAGGTCCGCTGCCCTACTTCACAGGTCTTGACCATAAGTTCATCTACCTCGACCTGAACCACACCACGCAGAGGAAAGGGCTCCTTCAAACTTGATAACAACTCTACACTGAGCACAAAACAGTATGAAAGAAGCGATGGTGGAAGCGTGTACGGACCATACACGCGTGGCAGGGCCAACTCTGCGACTTGGTGGACAGGCTGTCTTGGGAAGCATCCCAGGCGTCCCGATTGCTGGCGGCTAAGCGCAACGAGCGCCAACAGCGGCTCGAAGCAGCAGTCCAAATGGCGGACACAAACATCGCCCATATAAACCAGGCATCATCATCTACGAGGAAGCGCTCGGTCATTAATGCTGTATTTGGTGCACCTTTCAGTCCAGATACAGCGATAACGACCGGGCGTTTTATTCGGGTGAAGACAGTAGGCAGGAAGACTTGAGAGCCAGAGTCCGGGAGTTAGTCGAGGTATTTTTCTTTCAAAAAAAAAAGACGAACGCAAGAAGCATGCTGATGGGTCAGCTGCAGCAGCGAGACAGGGCAACATCCGAGCCACAACCGAGATGTCGAAGAAAGCACCAGACTGCTTCAGGGAGCTATACACCTCCAAGGAGGCAGACCATCACACGGACATGTTACGTCAGACAAGGAGCAAATTCCTTGTGCTGGATAGAGCCATAACCTTGTATCAGGAGGAGATCCTAGGCAGACCAATAATGCAAGGAAGAGGTAAGAGCAGCACTGGTGTTTCTTAAACCCAATCAAACCCCAGGAAGGGACCGTATACCATCCGCTAGTACGAGCCCGATCCCAGCCGCTAAATCTACCACAGAGAGCACTAGCAAGACTGTTATGTGTATTGCCTAATGTGTGTGTGTGTGTGTGTGTGTGTGTGTGTGTGTGTGTGTGTATTTTTGGGTAGGTCTCTCTAGAAGCCTGTGTTATCTGTGTTATCTATGTTATCTGTGTTATCTGTGTTATCTGTGTTATCTGTGTTATCTGTGTTATCTGTGTCCAAGGGAAAATGTGGGGCCTACCTGTAGCAATTCAATCTCTCTCTCCAATTTTCTGAGCTCAGCTCTCTTCTTGGCCTTCCCTCGAACCTCTGGGACCTGTGCTGGTGGCAATGGGGCTGCCAGGGCAAAGTTTGTGGTACCAGGCATCGGACCACGCCCTGCCCATGCAGGAGTCCTCGACCCATCTACCATAATTGCATGCGAAAGCAGCTTCTCCAACTCCTCGTCTCGAACCGCTGCCCTGTTCTTATCCTCCCCCCCCGCCGCCCCCCCTTTCCCCTTCCCTTTGGCTAAACCGTGCTAGTTGCAATCCTTGTTGCAGCCAAGCCCGAGCAAAACGCAGATCGCGTATTCACGCCAGCAAATGAATCTATGTGAGATACGGATATGTTGAATCCGTGAAAGCACAATGTATTCACACCCTTCAACATAGTCTTCTCATAAACACCGCCCTCACCTCTTTCCGTTGTCGCTCTCTCAGTGACGCCCAGACCAGATTGAATCCACAGCTTTGACACAAGAAATTGCCACGAGCTGTTCCTCAGTCCTCCACTACTACCCCTTCCTTTCTCAAGAGGACAATGCACCCAAAACTCACTCGTTCTCCACAAGCGTGTCTTCAGCAGAGATCATCTACTTGAGTAACACACTTTCCACTGGCACAGGCAGAGAAAGAAGAATCAACAACCACAAAACAAACAAACAAACAAACAAAATCAGCTTCTCTGCGACAGCCGATACTATCACATGTACGACAAGTTTATTAAAAAAAAAAAAAAAAAAGGGAAAAAAAAGATGAAAGAATGGTGCGCCCTACAAGTTGGTAGGTGTACAATGGTCTCCCGAACGAATCATGACAGGGCACTCCCGCTTCACTCATTAAGGACTCCATGCAATTTGAGACACAATGGAGTAGACGGGAACAGATTTCGTGTGAGGAAAAACCCGGAGAGAGATGAGAGAATTGCAAAGAACATACAAATGCCGGCAACTGCTCAACATGTTCCCTATGCACGCGAACATGAAATCTTACCTACCAAATACAGTCTTCTGCAGGGTCGCCAATGAAGTGCTCCTCAGTCAAGCTGCTCAAAAGCCCCTGATCCCTATGTAATATGTATCTATGCGGGGCATCAAACTACTACTCCCTCGAATGTGCATTACAGCCGACATACCATAACCACTAACCACCGGATAGAGTTAACCAACAGCGATATACAATTTTCGCTCAGAGTATGAGCAGATATACTCGCCGCCTACTCACACTTGGGGAGCAAAGAATCCCCCTTCAGACGGCAAGTACGGTGCGGATTAGCAAGTGGGTGGGTGTCCAGTTCCTGCTTGATGGGGGGGGGGGAGGCGATTGACTTGGACATGCATAGACGAGACAACCAGTTCATGAGGGGGGTGTATGTCAAATTCGCATAACTCCTCTTCATAGGACGTGGTTTGTGCGCATAGCAGCCGAGCTGTTCTCTCAAAGATGGCTATGGCTGCAGCTGTGCCTTGCCTTGCTTCCATTAGAAGAATTGCATTGCTTTGCCTACTTTTCTTCGGAAGAATTTAATTAATTAATAATTGGTATCCCAAAAGAGACTGCAATGGCTGTTTCGGGAGCTCCATTCTTGTTTTCTGTCCATTTTGTTCTGTGTTGGTCTGTTTCTTTTTTCAAAAAATGGATACGGGTTGTGAACCACTACTACCTCCGAGGCAGAGCACAACAGCGCGCCAAGGTTTTGCGGAAACGCCAGCCCGACCTTTTTTTGTTTCGGAGCCAGCCATTCTGGTCCGGTGGCAGCCGGCCTCCAAAGAATGCAGTATAAGTTATATTTACGACTTCGCCTTCCGGCCTGAAAGATAGTGGTGGATTAAACCACCAGTACCTTTCCCCGCTCGAAAAGAACTACCGCGGCGGCTAACACGGAAGTTCGACCCGCGGCGAAATGGCTGCCGGCGCCACCCAGATACATCCTTGTTGGTTCGTTTTTCTCTCGCGTGCAGGGCAAATTCAGGCCCGCGGCCGATATATGGGAAAGGTACTGGTGATTTAAGTGGATGGAATGTCGGAGTCCCAAAAGTAACGGTTTTACAAAACACTTCAGGAAACACAGGAGGAGAACGAAAAAAAAAAAAAA